CAAAAAATCGGATATGGTCAAAAGATCGGATCTGTGCATTAAGACTTGCAGTGTAAACGTAGCTTGTCTTAATGAGTGAGTTGAATCCTTAAATCAACCGATTCGTTTAAAATGCTAATTAATTTAACTTAGCAAAGGACTGTACTTATAGTCTGTTTGAACCATTTACTGGTCCGTGTAATGCTGAAAAACAAAACAATGTGTTGCTCGGATACGCATTGATGGGGCAAAACAGAATTTTGTGTCTGAAAGTTACTCAGTAACATGTTGTTTATTGTACATTTGCGATCGTGCAGATATTCAGAAAAACAGGACTCTAGTTTGTGTGATAGGCTAACTCCTATATCATAGGCATTCACTCATTAAATGCAGGGTTCGTTCAACGAATATATTTCCATGACTTTTAAGGCAATATTTATGACCGAATGCTCCATTAATTTACACAAATGTTCAGATTTATCATAGCATATGCTAAGGAAAATTAATGATTATTAATGATATTTGTTTGCTTTCTAATAAGCACAGGCTGCGACTGTGCCATGCAGAGAACATAAGTTACATAAGCACATAAATGAATGCCAGAATGTTAAGTATATTGTAATTTGCTTAGCCAGTATTATAAATTAAAACTCAGGACCTGAATTTCGTTTTAGAAACAGTTTTGGTGGAACACATTCAGGTACAGAAATGCTGCAGAAATGGAATAAACTGTAAATTAAAAACAGTAAATTCACTGTAAATTAAACAACAGATTAATTCTTAAAATTAAAGTTACAAAAGTTATTCAGTCAAGAGCAGTGAGTGATTTTGTCTTTTTTTTGTTAACATGAATTAACAATAACCAATAATTAATTAACATTGTTAACATTAACATTTGGTATGAAAGTGCTACCTGAAAAAGTAAAAACAGTTTGTTTTATTTGTTTTCTTGTGCTATTGCTAGTAACTTGTTAATTTATTACTGACCGTTTAATTGTCTTTATGTAACATTATTTATTAAAATGCAAGGTTACTTGAGTCAGGAACAATGAAAACAATAACTTTTTTCTTGAGGTGTTTGCGAGGCGGCTTCTACATAAAAAAATCTGTACAAACACTTACCTCCTATTGTAACATTTTGACTTCTCACTAAAACTCATTAAAATAAGCAAAATGTAAAATGTTTAGGATTAATCTACAGTAGTAAGTAGAAGTAAGTGAAATGTGTTTTACCACATATTTTACTATGAAATCACCAACGCTCTGTCTGTCTCAACAGTGCCAAACACTGGGTAAATAATTCCAGTCTCTTTAAAATCTACGTTAAAGGCGTAGATATGTCTTCCTTTCTCTGCATCATAGAAAGAGACGTGGCCCTCTTCTATGTCCAGATAAACTCCTATTTTAGAGGGTGTTGGCAGGTCCAGTTTAGTGACTGGTTCAGTCAAAGCCATCAAAGTTCCCAGCTGCAGGCGCAGATTCCAGTACCCTGTTTTTGTGTTCATTGTCACATAGCCATTTCGAGGGGCTGATTCCTTCACAACTCCCACCTGCCACTCACGTTTCTTCCTCACATCTACCTCCCAGTAATGAAGACCTGTGCCATAACCCTCTTTAGCTTGAACACACGTCCAACCATCAAATTTAGATCGCTTCCACTGATACCCATGATGCCAGTAATCAAGACCTGTATATTCTTTTGCTCTCAAATTTTTTTTCCATCTTCAGAGACTAGGAGATCTGGGTTGGCTGTGTTTGGATCCAGAATTACATCAGCTTCAAGAACAAAAGGAAAAGGTATTGTATTGATTCTTGAACTCTGTATTCATTTACATTCATATCACCTGATTATGAAAGCTGCAGTTGAGCTGTAGAGGATTTAGTGAGATCGCCTGTTAGGCTATATGGTGGAAGAAACCAAGATACAATCGCATTACCTTATGCGACATCGCAAAAATACGATTTATGAGACTAAGACTTAAAGTATTTACCTAAAAGTATTGTTTTATTCTGACCGGAATCAAACTTTTAGATCTTTGTCAAGGTAACATACTGTGTCCCCTAGAGGGCAGCACTTACCATCGCATTAAATAATTTTACCCCATGAAGAAAAAACTCCAAAAACCACGGAAGTAGACGTGATGGTCTGCTGTCTCGCTTGTATTTTATTCCAGAAAAAACTATTTTCATTTCTGTGATGGCAGAACATGACGAATTAACAATGGATTTAAAATGTGCTAAAGATGTATCTAGATCCAGCACACATCTTCAACTCGTCTCGTACACATCGTCTCATATGTTAACAGCTAGCGATTGACTGGGTGAGTGTTTTAGTATTTTAGTGTCATTCATGTAAATGACACGTAGTGTTAATGCACGTAAAATGTGGTAAAATCGTAAAACTCAAGATTATTTAATTCACCCGTTTGTCTATTAAGTCTCCGTCTATTAAATCAAATCACTATTGTCACATCACCATAATCCGTAACGTTGGGTGAACGTTTTGAGTGCAGTTACAGTGTTGTAGTAAAGTTTAAAACCACAATATACTGCAATCTACATATAGTATGGCTGAGAGCAGAAGTGTGTGACTGTCTTGTGCTGAGGTGCATCTCTACTTTTGAATGACAGAGCACTGAGGACTTCACATCACCATGGGCCACAGGAAGAGAGGTCACACTCATGCACCTAAAACCCCTTCATCTTTGGACACACACTCCTCCAGCAGCACACTGCGACACACTGATCACGAGCAGGGCATGAAGCACAGGATATGTATGGTGTCAGACTTCTTCTACCCAAACATGGGTGGTGTGGAGAGTCACATCTACCAGCTCTCACAGTGCCTCATAGAGAAGGGCCATAAGGTTGTGATCGCAACTCATGCATATGGAGACCGTCGTGGGATTCGCTACTTGACCAATGGACTGAAGGTGTATTATCTACCACTGCAGGTGTGTTTTACAATATACTACGTTTGTTTAAAGTGTCATACATATCACACTTACCACTCACATCCCCATGTCTTTTTCTTTCAAGGTCATGTATAATCAGTCCACTGCGACCACCTGCTTTCACAGTTTGCCGTTACTCCGGTGTGTGTTTGTGCGTGAACGCATCACTATTGTGCACGCCCACAGCTCCTTCTCCGCAATGGCCCATGATGCTTTGTTCCATGCCAAGACTATGGGACTCAACACCGTCTTCACAGATCACTCTCTCTTTGGATTTGCGGACCTGAGCTCTGTACTGACCAATAAGCTGCTGACTGTCTCTCTGTGTGACACCAATCACATTGTGTGTGTGTCGTACACTAGTAAAGAGAACACTGTACTGCGAGCTGCTCTTGACCCTGAGATCGTCTCTGTCATCCCTAATGCTGTCGACCCCACTGACTTCACCCCTGACCCCTGTCTCCGTGACAACAGCAAGATTACCATTGTGGTCATCAGTCGACTGGTTTACAGGAAAGGTAGCTAGAGGATGGTGTTTTTATTTGCATTACAGAATAATGTATTGATATATTTACATTTACATTTAGTCATTTAGCAGACGCTAAGAATTTCATATATGCAAGTTCTGTTTGGGGGTAATGATAATCTTTGAATAAAATGTAAATTTCAAGAAAAGTTTAATTTAACGATTCTAAAAATGTAATGTGAAGTAGCTATCAAGTAAATAAATGCCCAATTACTCCTTGAATACATGTAAGAGTAAATCAAATTAAAAATAAAATCAGATTTTTGGGGGGAAAAAATTATTTTTCAAAAAAGTAACAAAAAAAACATGTTTTTTAAATGTCATGAGTTATTAATAAATGTATATTTTAAAAACAATAATAATAAAAGCTAGTGTCAAGCTACTTAATAAGGTTTTCTTTTCCAGAATTTCATTTTTAGGCATTTTTAAATTATGATATCAGGACAGTTGTACTGTCACCCTGAATTGTTTTCCAAAAATTATAAAAAAGTATTTTTTATTAAATGAATGCTCTATTAACTATTAACTATTTAATTAACTATTATGAATTCATTTTAGAAATGAAAAAGGTGTTTATCATTGAAGAGGTGCATTCCATGTATGAATTGCAATGATTTTTTTAGGTAAAGAAAAACAGATCTGGAAAAAAATAGCATAATTTCATTGACCCTGTGATTTGTTGGCTGGTTGTTTTACAGGGATTGATTTACTAAGTGGAATCATTCCTGAACTATGTGGAAAGCATCCAGATCTCTGCTTTCTGATAGGTGGAGAGGGACCCAAAAGAATCATACTGGAAGAGGTTCGAGAAAAATATCAGCTTCATGACAGGTATGAAAGTCAGTGGGCATGAGAAATTATCTCTTGATGTGAGTTTATGTGTGTCTATAATTTCTTTTTTTATATACATATAATTTTTATGTATATAAAGGGTTCGTCTGCTGGGAGCTCTGGATCATAAAGATGTGAGGGATGTTCTTGTTCGGGGTCATATCTTTCTCAACACTTCTCTCACCGAGGCCTTCTGTATGGCCATAGTGGAGGGAGCCAGCTGTGGGCTGCAGGTATGTGGGGTTTTTGCTATTAATATGTATGAATGAAAACACATAATAGAAGTAAAATGGGTTGTAAATGGCATATCATGTTAACTGCAAGTTGTGCAATAGAATATTGTGTGACATTATGCACAATATATGTTAGATGCATACATGTTTTAAATGTACAATTAACTGGTTTCCATGTTGTAAGTTTCTTTAATTGAAAATATCTAAATAGCCTACATGTAATTAGTCTATGACAGGACTGAACAGCAAGGACTTTTGGCCCAGACAGACTAGTAGTTCATCTTTTTTTTTTTTTTCCCACACAGATAAATAATACATTTTTATTGTTTATTTTTTGCTAGAATTGTTGCTATTATTATTATTATTCCACATTTTTTTCTTTACAAAAAGAAAAGAATCCCCTGGCCAACAGCCCTGATTTTTGGATGTTCATCAGTGATCAAATCTAAATAAGCACTGCTCTCTGTGTGCCTGCGTGTGTACAGGTGGTGAGCACCCGTGTTGGAGGTATACCTGAAGTCCTGCCTGATGAGTTGGTGACTCTGTGTGAACCATCAGTTCGTTCACTTTGTGATGGCTTGGAAACTGTAATTGCAAGAATACGCACAGGAAACGTGGCGTCTCCTGCCACCATCCACCGCAAGGTCCGAACACTGTACACTTGGAGAAACGTTGCCGAGCGCACAGAAAAGGTGAGTTTTAATACCATGCTTGAATTATTTGTTGGATGCACATTTGTTGGGTAACTTTAAAAAACGATTGGTAAAGTCTTTAATGCTCACCAAGGCTGAAACTGGAAACTGATTCAGATATTTTCATGAGTCTTTTAATGAATAGAAAGTAAAAAAAAAAAAACATTTATTTGAAATAGGAATCTTTTGCAACAATATACATTTCTTTACTGTCACCTTTGATCAATGTAATGCGTCCTTACTGATAAAAGTATACATTTCTTTTAAAAGAAATGAATCTTACTGACCCCAAGCTTTTGAAAGGTAGTGTATTTTATTATTAAATGTTATTAGAATAATTGTATAATGAGCCCACTCTCTGTGTGTGTGTGTGTGTTTCAGGTGTATAATCGGGTGTGCAGGGAGCCCGTTTTGCCATTTTCTGAGCGACTGCATAGACTGCGCTCTCACTGTGGTGCTGTGGCAGGCTCCATTTTCTCCTTTTTTGCTGTTATTACCTTCCTCTTCCTGCTTCTCCTGCAGTGGCTCCGCCCAGATCATCTGATTGATGTTGCTATAGACTCATCAGGTCCCCACAGCCGAATGGGGCAGCAGCTTAGTAAGAAGAAAAGTAAAACACCAAACCCAGCTTTGTCCTGATTAATGATCTAACATGACCTCACATTAGTCTCATGGTGGACTTTATTTAGAAGGGGAAGGATGCAAGTAATGAACTGAACTAAACCTGTTGTACCGGTACGTCATAGTGTACTATGGTACATAAGCCGCAGCAAAAAAAAATGGCTGCCCACTGCTCCGGGTGTGTGTGTGTTCACTACTGTGTGTGTGCACTTTGGATGGGTTAAATGCAGAGCACTAATTCCGAGTATGGGTCACCATACTTGGCCACATGTCACGTCACTTTCACTTTCAAAACATGTACTGACTACTGTTTACATTCCTGTATAAAACAGCGACCTCAGGTGAAGAGAAAGCTTTTAAAAGCTATCCTCAGCCACTCCTATAGTCCCAGTGCCTGCTTTTGCACACTGAAACGCTGCCTTTAACTGAACCCCCATCAGAAAATAGTCTAAACTTGTTGAAATTGTTGCACATATGTTTTAATGTCTAGATTTAAGATAAATGACAAACAGTCAAACATTTTTCTTCTAACAGCACATCTGTATGGTGTAGATGTGATTTAAACTGATTTAAATGAGCTGAACTGAACGTTTTAATGCCAAACACACCGTTTATGAGCTCTAGTGGAGGTATGAAATGTAAGATGCATCATATCTGTTAATTTTTTTTGATCTGACAGTGCTTGTTTGTCTTTAAACCGGTTCTTACTGAAATTACTTCTTTTTATTGGCAGATTTTGGATAATGGTGTAAATGCATTTATTTAAACCCAAACATAAAACACATACAGTACACTTGATTTTGGGCGCTATACTTTTCATACCTGCTTTCTTTGTTGCACCTATTTTATATTGACCTTCTCTGTGAGTATTGTGAACATGATTATAATGCACAAAAGTTCATACTACCTGAAGTGGGTGTGAATTTGAATTGTTTTTGTTGACACAATCTACAATAAACTTTTTTTAACATACCATAAGTATACATTCTTTTATTTTTTTAATGTTGATATGAATTGGGATTTTGTCCATGCAATAACATAAAATCTATGTAAAATTATACTGGAAATGTGCAACTGTTGAGTATAAGTGTGGTACATTATGGTAAAGTAGTTGTTTTTGTTGTAGATAACAGTCAGGGTCTCTCTGGATCAGGAATCTTATGCTAACACCCAAACAGGGCAGATAATACACACCCTCACCCATTCAAGGCTAAAACCAGGAGCCGTTAACACACACTTATCGCACGTTCTGACTGCTTTCACACACATGCACATTCAATAGCCACCCTTGGACGGTCCTGTTCCTGCATAACACTGCATGTAAATCATGTTTTGCTGGAGTGGCAGATACTGTATCACCAATTACATTTGCAGTTATATAGGCTTAGGTTCATGGCTAAGTTTTAGCTATTTTGCTTGCTGTATATGCAAAATCATCTGTTTTTGAGGTTGTAGATCAAAGTTTGTAATTTTAAGATGAATTAAGTTTCTGTTACGAAAGTTTCATTTATGTCATTGATTTATTCTCTGAAACTGGTTAAAGGGGTTTTGTATGTGTATGTTTTTGACTCATTTTGAGGGGATGTGTTTATGCGGGGGATGCTCACCTCTCAAGTTTAAGGAGATGGGGGTGCAAGCACATATCACTGATAACAGAGGGAGGTGCATTCTTGCCAAGGGGGGTTCTTGTTTCTCTGAAGGCCATATAAACTCCTCTGAAGAGTTTCTCTGTGCTCCATTATCTCAATTGTTCTCTTCCTGCGAGGTCTCTGAGTTGGCTTCTTGTGAAGTTTAAAGATGGCTGTGGTTCATGCTGAAGTGAATGTCTGGAGCAAGCCATGGGATCACAGGTTTCAGTTGTATGGAGGACATGTGTGTAATACACTAATGGCAGGTAAGTTTTCATCCTCTACCTCTGTTGTTGTCTCTCTTCCTGAATGTTTTTAGTAGTCAGACTTGTAATGTTGACCACAAGGACCAAGGACTCTTTTCACTTCATTACATTTTTTGTTGTGATATCCACTGAATTGTCGCCACTGGACCTTGAGAAAGATGTACTATAGTAATACCAAGTCCATACAATTCAATTATTATACACGCTGAAATAGAAAAAGACTTTGACTTTGGCTTGAAATGATGGTCTAGAAAAGCCTGTTTAACTTGTTTTTGTTCTGGCTTAGTTTTAAATGCTTTTAAGGGATACATTTATTCTAAAAGAATGGTGTAGGTTTATACTTTAGGGATGAAACAGTCTCCGGATGTTTGCTAAATTGACTTCTTATTGAGGTCAGAGTTGTGACTCAGTGGGCTATGCACATGCTCAAAACATGTACGAGCCATTGGCTTTCAAATTTAAAATTTTGCCCTGGGACATTTTCCAATTCCAGTCCCCCTAACTCACCAATTTTCCTGACTATACTTTACAACAATAGCAAAAACGGAAAATATATAAATAAAATACTAATACTCATGGAAAAATCCTTAACCTTCCCTTTAATTATTAAAATATAACAATTATTAATAAATAAAGTTTATTTATGCAGCACATTTCATACACAATGGTAATTCAAAGTGCCTTATATTAAAAGGATTTTAAAAGTCATCAAAAATAATAACAGATGCATAAGAAATAACAATAAATGCAATTAAAATAATATTATAACTTTTTATGTATTCTTAAAGGGATCGTTCACCCCAAAATGAACATTTTGTCATCATTAACTTTGAAACAAATTGTTCCAAACGTGTTCAATTTTCTTCTGTTAAACACAAAAGAAGATATTTTGAAGAATGTTGGTAACCAAACAGTTGATGGTAACCTTTGACTTCCATAGTATGGAAAAAATACTGAGGAAGTCAATGGCGTCAACTGTTTGATTTGGAACAATTTGAGTTAATGATGACAAAATTTCATTTTTGGGTGAAGTGTTCTTTTAGGAGTAGAGATTGGTTTTGTCTGTATACATACATTATTATTAATTGACATAAAAACAACAAAAGTGTATATGGCACATCTTCATTTAAATATCCATATACATGTCCATGTCTCTGCTTTATTAGATTCCTGGGATGACAGAACACCTCTACATGACGCTGCTTTGCAAGGAAGATTGCTGCCATTACGAAGACTGCTTTCACAGGTACTGATGGAAGAAACACTGGCATAACATTTTTCAAACCGAATAGTTCACAACAATATCTGAACACTATAACAAAAATCAGTTCTTAAAAACAGACTTTGTATGAACTGAATACTCCCTTTTGTGATTGAAGGAAATTAATTGTCTATGTGTGCATGTGTACAAGGGGTACAATGTGGGAATGGCTACATTAGATGGAATCACACCACTGCATGAAGCATGTGTTGGAGGCCATTTCACCTGTGCTAAACTTCTCCTGGAACATGGTGCTGATGTATGTATATACCTTTCCCTTTATTTACAGTATCTGCCTTTATTTTGCTCATTGTTTCTGCATAAACATGCATTAATGGCTAACATATATATGCATTCAGGCCAATGCTGTCTCTTTTGATGGAGCCACTCCTCTCTTCAGTGCATGCTGTAGTGGAAACCCCGCCCTCGTCAGCCTCATTCTGATCTACAGCTCTGTCCACCATCCAGCTCATCTGCAGAGCTCACCTCTCCATGAAGCAGCAAAGAGAGGTATGTGTGATGATTTGTATGAATTTGCAATGCACTGAAAACATTGGGATATCAGTAAACCAGATGTCTTTATGTATATGTTTCAGGTCACACAGCATGTGTTGAACTGCTGCTGTCTCATGGTGTGAATGTGGACATGGAGGTTCCCAGCATAGGAACAACGCTGTACTGTGCATGTGAATCCAAGGCAACAGAATGTGTACAGAGCCTGCTGATCTCAGGTCAGAATCACACACACACACACACACACACACACACACCACTCTTAATAGGTTAATAAATACATTTTAGGGCCATTACGATCATTACAGAAATATAATTTTCGTTTTGGTAATGCATTTTACAGTAATACAGTGTTTAATTTTGCGTGTTCTCAAAGGTTCATTACATTGTGTAGTATAATAAAAAAATATCCTATAGAGATCATGTTTTCTCTTTTTTAGCTGTAACTAAATTAAATAAACACACACACACACACACACAAACACACACACACACACACACACACACATATATATATATCATTATTTTTAATATACTGTTCCAGCATTTATTCATATTATTATTAGCTTTTATTTTTTAGCTTTTTTCAGTGTACATTTTAGTTTTAGTAATTTTATGAACATCTGTATTATTTTTTTTTATATTTCTACAACGTGTAGCTTTCATTAATTTTTAATTTTAGTTCAGTTTTAGTTTTAGTAAGTTTAGCACTAAACAAACATTGTCAACAAAGTCTATATATTTGTAATTTTTAGGTTTTCATTTAATGTTTATATATATTATTATAAATGTATAAGTTTATATAAATATATATTTATATTATTTTATTTAAAATGTATTTTAATACCTAAAATGATTTTCAATAGTCTTAGTTTTAAAAGTATTGTCATATGTACAGGGTACAGTGTACTAAGTACAATGAAATTCTGAACAGGCAGTGCAAACAAACTACACAGATATAGACATGTACAGTATATACAGTGCTGGATGTACATGAATGTATAAGTATGCATATAATAAGTTAAATTATTGAATAGATTATTAAAAAGCAGCAGTAGCAGCAAAATAGGAGATTATCAAAGCTCTCAAGGTTTTAGTTAATAATACCAAAACTGCTAATGAGAATAAGTTTTTTTCAATACAGTAATACAAATTTGGGTGGAAATTTTAACACTGCTTCTTGCCTCCCTCCAGGTGCTGATGTACAATGTGGGCGGGGTCTTGACACACCTTTACATGCTGCAACCATGGTGGGCGGGGCAAAAGAGGTGGAGCTACTGTTAGAGCACGGGGCTGATCGGACCTCAAGGAACTCTGAAGGGAAGAAAGCTCTGGAGTTGACAACAGATCAGAGCATCAAACATCTCTTGCAGACTACAGGTAAATGAAAATATAGGATATCATATGAAAACTCAGTGTGCACCTGTGTGCTGCGATACTGATTTTGGCTGGGTTCTGCAGGTCCGTGCTCCCTGTCTCAGCTGTCCAGATGGTGTATTCGACGTTCCCTGGGACAAAAAGGACTAAGCAAAACCAAGATGCTTTGCTTACCACATATCCTACACAATTATCTTCTCTATCATTAAAACACACATAAACAATCCCTGTCTAGTGTCCAGACATGGTTCACATAGTAATCTTGTTCTTTTTGAATAACATTTTGTACACATTTTTATCTGTAAATCATCTTTTTTTGTAAAAGTGTATCCTTTTTTGTTTTGTAATAAATATTTTTATACATTTAAAGACTTATTTATTTGTTGAAATTAATGTATGACTATACACACACACACACACACACGTTGGGTTTCCATGTCTAATGGAGACATCATATATTTTTATACTGTACAAACTGTCTTTTCCATCCCCTTACCCTAACCCTACCCCTAAACCTACCCATCATAAAAAAAAAATCTAAAATAGAAAGTTTTGTTCTTTTAGATTTTCAAAAAAATCATTCTGTATTATTTATAAGTCTTTTAAATGTTTATTTATAAGCCCTTTTCCTCAATTCTCTCCCCACAAGGTCAAAATTTACTGGTATTATACTTGTGGGGACATCTGGACCCCATAACGTAGGGAATACCAGGGCCACACACATATGTCTACATACGCACATGAACATTCATTATGCCTACTAATTCAGACAGAGTAAAGACTAAATTGACTATTAAATGTATGTTTTAAATGTCTATTAACTCTGTAAACGAGCATTACCTGAACTAACCAGCAGGTGACACCTTTGTAACATATTTTATAACATTTTATAGTAATTTTATAGGATAGATTATGATAAATCACACTCTATAAATGGCTTTAAGATTCTTCCTATTTTCAGTTTATAAGTGCTTTGTATGCTAGTTTTTTATGCAATATAGGGTCAATACAAACAACAAATGGTGACTGAAAACAGAGGTTAGTAAAACTATAGGCTAACATACATTAAATAATAATAATAATAATAATGAACATTAAGATATCTATCTATCTATCTATCTATCTATCTGACCGACTGATTCTACATATGCTGACAAATATGCTGAGGATATACCCTCTCCATTCTGAGAGCGAGATTATGGCATCCTACGATGCAGACGCGTAGAAGACTGTGTGTGTGCGTGTGTGTGTGTACTCGGTCACGGGGAATCCGTGGGAGCGCAAACTCCGCCCACGCCATGAACATCTCCAGCGGTGAGAGCGTGGGGGGGTTTGCCTCGCGCTCGGGCTGCAATGAACACGGCGATACAAAGCTGCTCTTGACCATGTAACAGGATTGCAGTTCACGGGATATTCACGAGCGAACGCTGCGGCAGGTAGGACATCAGTTTATTTCCTGGTGGTGCTTCATGTATGCGGCTTGAGGGAATAAACGCGGCTTTACGCTGAGATGGACACAGGAACTTCAGTGCTCCCATTCTGTCACCTCTTCAACTGTCTGTTTCTTCTTTATACATAGGTTACATCATCTTAAAACAGTCTTAACCCCACAAAAGTCAATGTCAGAGGATATTCCCTGACGAACAAGCCTGTTTTAACGCTGTTTGTGGCATTACATATAATGTCGTCTCACCAGGTGTTTGAACAGGTGCAATGCAGCAGAGCGTTTTTCTATTTATCGAGGTAGCCTGAAGTCGTTTTCATATATTTGTACAGGCAATTATTGCGAAAGTTTAAAAGTGTCACCACGGTTCAATCCGTGGTGTTTATTGCACATATTATGTGAAGCTAGTTGTCCCACTTTTTACTGCAGTGAATATTAATAGGGTAGGTTTATTTTTGAAAGTCAATTTCTGTGTAGATACATGATTTAAAGTCTTGGGGACAAAATGTCTTATGTGTCTCATTGTGATTCTGTTGTGTTCACTTGACTGCTATTGAGTAAATATGATGATATTTAGAATTTTTTTTGTAGCATATAATTCACAAATATCATTTAATTTTAATTGAATTACCTAATTTAGTTATGAAACATGAAAAAAAAACGGTGAAATCAAGTTTTGCAATTATATGGGTATGAGGATACCTAACATATGGGATAGGATAGCTAAAACACCTTTGTACAGTGATGATTTTTGTAGTCAGCAAGATGTTCTTTAACCTGATAACATGTGATTGCCTGGCGTGTGCTGTGCTTATCCTTTAGTATGATTTAGTATCCAGAGCTAAGACATCATGAATGGCAAACTGGCCCACTAGTAAGTTGTTGCCTGTAAACTATTATCTGTCTAATTTGGTTTACTCCACCCATTTAATATTTAGAAACACAATTTTTTTTAAAGCTGTTACAGTGATAATCACACTGAGAACCAGAACAGACGTTCTACTGGTGTAGCCTACAGATTAAACTCTGTGGCCACTCACACGGGTGGAAAAATGCTGGTGGAAGTTATACACACGGATTTGAGTCACAGTGGTGACACACGCAGTGACGGGAAAAACACCTCTTGGCATTTTAACCTCTTGTCACATGCTGATAGGTAACCGTTTAAGATGTGATGTGTCATCTTTTGTGTACTATGGGCAACAACATACAGTAAATCACTTCTGTTTTCTGAAGCATTAGCTATTTATACCCGAGTGAGACATAATCAAGATAAGAGGCAGCTGGAGGAACAGCACATCAGTTTGACTGGCCAAGGGAACATTGTATTGCTCAGATGTTCATACTCTTTCTCCGGACAGTTATTTATGTTTAATGCAAGTATCAGATGTTCCTTCTAACACAAGAAAAAGTAGACGCTAATGTGACAATTGTGAACATACAATATGAGTATAGCGCTGTATTATTATATTATTTTTTTCATTATATATATA